TTGAAGTCCCAAACCCTGAACGCTTAATCCTCAAACAGTGGAGCTCTGTTCGTGCAGGCGTGGCGCTTGTTAGCGGCAGATCGCACATCATCCAGCAGCATCGAGAGTGCCTGCGCGATTTAGGGTTTAGGGTTGAGGGACTCACAGCCAGTGAATCCCGTGCCCCCCCCTCAGCATAAAACTTTGCACTCCGCAAGGGGCACAGCATAAGGTTCAGGGACAAAACCTGAAAAGCAGAAGGAAACATGAAGGACATACTAAGACTAGCTCCAAACCCTGAAATTCCCAACCCAAATCTCTAACCCAAACTGTTTACTAGCATGGCCTGCCCATCGAATGCAACATCTTAGTCACTTGCACGGCTCTGCCCAAACAGAGGCCTTGCGCCTCCTCCAAGCAGTCGAGCACAGCATCCACGCAGCTTGCATCCACAAAGTTGTGGGACACAGCAATGCCTGAGGCATTTTCCTTGGGCACCTTACTCGCTGCAGTTGCTACTACCTAGACCTCAAAAGTAGGTAAACTAATGGCCCAAACCCCTAAACATATGTTCGCGTGGCCAGTATTCTACGTACTTTGGGGGACCAAGAAATTACTGGAGAAGATGTTGTTGAGGGTCGTGTGCCCTAAATCCCTTAATCTGCGCCCTACAAGTCAAACTCGCACTCCTAAACCCTACACACCCTATACCTACCCAATACCCTAAAGCTTAACCGTGTGGTCGAAGTTCTGAAGCACAGTGTCCTTCTACAGCAATGCTGCAAGGCAGATCGAGCAAAGATGCAACAGCAGATCCCTGATAAGGTCAATTTAGCAGATCTTCGTGACGTGTTTCTTTTGACCGGCCCTTTGAAGGGGGTGCAAGGAATGCATATCTAAGTTTAGGGTTTAGAGTTTAGGATTCTGACATGAGGTGGCTCAAATCAAGAGACTTGGGCGCATATTGAACATTACGCGGTGAGGAGGTGTTTGATATCCCTTACATAACCTCCCATGAAGGATTAGACTCTAGCTCAAAGGTATCTGAAAACGTAGATGGCCCTCTAAGGTTCCTAAAGCAGCTCTTGACAGGGCCTTGTATTTTCAAGTTTGGGGTTGGGGGTTTAGGTTTTAGGGTTTAGGGGATCCTGCAAGGACCCTGGAAAATTAGGGTAACCACCTCTCACAGTGTCGCATGCTGCGTCCATGGTTAGAACTGGACCTCGGGGTACAATTATACAAATACGTAGAAAAGGATGATGGCACCATAGAGGCTTCCATTGCCTCTTGTGCTTAGAAGACGCTAACTGACAGAAGCCTGAAGACCTCTTGCAACACTTTCAAGGCAGGTCTATCCTGCTGCCAAACACCATAGCCATACTTGTACGCATAAATCACACACGCGCAACCTATTCAGCATACTCAAACAAAAGCAGCTGTCTGGAAGCAAAAATGCATGCCAATACTACAATAGAACCCTAACGCTGAGACCATGAAGAGATGATCAGCAAAGCACAAGTTCTCCGGCATTGTCATATGGTTCATGATGGCTCTATGTAGGTTCATATACCCCCAGATTTTCTTGAAAAAAGGTCCTAGACGCATTGGGGGTTGAGGGGCTTTATGTAGAGGCGTAGCTACTTGTAATTGACAGGTTGGAATGCCATGTCGGTAGACGAGTTGTCTGTGAATAGTTTCCCTTGGCATTCAGGTGCCTGCATTAGCTTACTGGTTTCTAGTGGGGAATAAGGGAATGTAATCCCTATATAAATCCTATGTAACATCTTCTTCCCTTCGTCTTTTCTAAAAACCAGTAAGGTTAAGGCATACCCCTCCACCCACATCACCCTAGATCCCAAACCTGATCTGAGCCCTTGCTACCCTTGGGCTTTCGTACCTTCATGGAAACCCTAAAACCTCAACCCAAATGGGAGTTTCCCTAAATTACTGTTCCCAAAATGGGGGAAATTTATATAGGGCCCCGTATTCTAATAGGAGCCTAAATATAGGACCCCGTATTGACAGCAATTTAGGACAATCCCCAAATCTTTCCCTATAAAGCTGCCCTGGACAAACCTCAGAACCTCGGAAGCCCATTCGAACTAAGACCTCTTGAGGTTCTATGAGCTATAGTCTAAACTCCTTAAAGGGGGAATATATAGGGGATTATATAGGGGACTACTATAGGGGTTATTAAGGGGGATACTAGGAGTTTAGACAATGGCTCCTATGACTCTAGGTTAGGGTTTAGGGTTTAAAGTTTTTTCCCCCAGCTAAGTTTCTACACGCATTGCCGGCCGAGGCCCTAGCTGGTGTTGGAACCCTGGTTTTGCACTGAATGCCTGGGCCAACAGGCTCGGGCAGAAGCTGAGTAAGGGGAAGCGATATATTGTAATATCTGGGTCATGGAAAAGAACATGGAAACTACTATTTGGGGTTTAGGGTTAAGGGTTTAGGGCGCTGCCCGGTGGGAAAGCCTTGGAGCTACTCCCCCAAATGCCCTCTCTCAGTCTCAGAGTCAGAACTGCTCAAAGACCATTTATGCTTCCAAGGCGGCTGTCCATGTTTTAGGACTCAGCCCCCATCCCTGGAACATCACCAACCGCAGATTTGGGGCAGGGGCTTCAGGCCATAGCAGAGCCCACACCTTCTTCGCACGCTAGTTGACATGCGAAGCATCCATAGTCTTACTGCACTGATGTCTACGTTATGTAGGTGGCAGCTACACTCCCGGAAACTAACATGGAAACCCAAAAGAGCCCTATGAAGACTACAGTCCCTCTAAAAGGGGGCTATATGGGTTTCCACGTTAGTTTGGGGGAATGTATAGTGGCTAGCAGCCACATTCAAACTCCCAGTCTTCATCTCATGCGCTATGCGTACCTCCCACCATGCCCCAGGAATCCAAAGACTCTGGTAGGTTTGCAAAGGGTTTAAGGTTAGGGGTTTAGGGAATATGTGAGCTATAGGCTGTAGTCTAAACTCCAAATATCCCCCTTAATAAGCCCAGTAGTGGTCTCCTATACTACATAGTCCCCTATATAACTCCCCTTCAGGGAACTTAGACTATATAGCTCATATGCAGGAAGCCTAGCAAAGGGACTCCCAAGCTTTGGAAATACTCATATTGCTCTCGGGCGTTCCGTGGACGATCTTCTTTCTGAGAGGTTTAGGGTTTGGGGTTTAGGGCTTGGGCTTAGGGTTTGGGTTTAGGGTTTAATTTGTTGGGTTTGGGGTTTAGGGTTTAAATTTTGGGGTTTGGGGTTTAGGGTTTAGGGTTTGGGGTTTGGGGTTTAGGGTTTGGTGTTCAGGGTTTGGGGTTCAGGGTTTGGGGCTTGCGGTTCTGGGCTAGACCTTGTTGGGAACACTCGAAACCCAAACTCTCTAAGTAACAGTTGCCGCTTCATTTTCCCGATTCTCCATTATCTCCATGGTGGCACCTAAGAGGGATTTGGGATGAGGGTTTGCCTGAACCTGAAAAGTAGAGCCCAAAAACTTTAAAGCAACGCCAAAAAGGGCTAATAATCTACGTACTTTTGAGGTTCAGGTAGGGCCCTAAACCCTAACCCCTCTAGGGTTCAGGACCCTTGGAAGACTGCAGCCCTAGGATGTCAGCTTGGTTGCAGGATCGCGGACGGAATGAAGATGAGCTCCTCACATGTTCCAATGACGAAGCTGGGATGCGCAGGAGAACGGTTTAGGGTTTAGGGGTTTCGGGTTTAGGGTTTGCTCATGACCCTCTTGGTGGATAAATGTAGAAACCCGCATAAGTTAGGGTTTAGAGTTTAGGGTTGAAGTGGGTATATTCTACTACAGCTGTTTCGAACTAAGATTGACGACCATACAGGCATCTACACCGCTCTATAAAGCATTCTCATCAAAATCCCGAGTTTACAGTTCCGAATACCGGACGGGTTTGAGATTGGAGGTTACCTTAAGCACGTCTTACCCCCAAAGCTCTATAGACCCTCTGAACCCAAGCTTAAGACATAGCCTCGCAGCCTGGGTCCCTACCTGCGAAACTTGCTAAACCGTTTGCCCAATTTGGGGGGGCAGGGGGACATCCTACTACAACTGTTTTGAAATAAGATTGGCGACCATACAGGCTTCTACAGCAGCGGCCGCTCTTGAACTCTTTCGTATAAAAGCATCCTGAACTCACAGCTCCGAATGCCGGACGTCTTTGAGGTTGGAGGTTCTCTTAAGCTCTCATCCCCCTCAACTCTGAACCCTGAACCTTAAACCCTCTGAACTCAAGATTCAGACATGGCCGCGTAGCCTGGTCATTCCCCGTGAAACTTGCTAAACCTTTTGCCCAATTTGAGTGTGGGGTCCCGAAAACTAAGGTTGACTGTAGGGTTTACGGGTTTAAAGTTTAGGGCTTCCCACTCTTGAACTCGAGAGGAACTCTGGGGCGAGGAACAAATCATGTGCAGAGATGCACCACGTTAAGTATTTAGAGTACGGCTTAGAGCCTTACACAATTAACAACACTTTCTGTGTTGTTCCGAGAAGGAGGATGATGCTACATGCGGGTATAGAAGGGTGACCCCCCTACGTTTGAAAGTCTACCCGGAGGCTTCTGCAACTCTTTTTGTCTTTTTCTGCTGCTTGCGCCTGGCCGCTGCTTGCTTCCAGACCCCAGCGCAAGGGCTTAAATCATTTCCAACATCCTTGGTGTACTATTCGTGTAATCTAAACTCCTCACAGGCGTGTGTAGGGGGCTCATTGCGGGAGATACTAGGCATATGGACTGTATCTCACATGTATTCATGTGTACAAAAGGAACTTAGGCCCCTACAGTACGCATTCCCTTCTCCGAGGAGTCCTTGGGATGGAGTGGCCTTTCCCTCAGCACCTACGGCATGTCAGTTCTGTACAGTAACACCATGTACTTACTGGTGCTAAGTAGGGAAAAAGGGAAGATAGAGCAATATAGGGGTGATATACGGATCAAGGTTTAGGGTAGGGTATGGGGATTAAATTCTGTGGTGTTGCATTCCCTGATTTGCTACTCCCTACTACTGCAACCGCAAGTACCATGTAGTCCTCCTCAGCGCTTCTTCGCCCGATTTCGGTCCTCCTCTTGCTGCTTGCGCCAGGTAACCGCCCGCTTCCATGCCTTCTTCACCTCCTTCTCCGAGAAGTCCTTGGGCCTGCACCGCTTGTACCGTTGCTTGCCTGCCATTTGGAATGTCGCGCGCCAGCACTGCTCGACGAGGTTCCACTTCACTCCCGGCTGGGGGCCCAGCGGCTCGAAGTGCTTCAGCTCCGAGAGACGCTTCACCGGGACCACCTTGTGCTCGATATCCTTGATTGCCCAGCTCCTTGGCGAGCTCCCGGGCCTTGGACTCGGCCTCCTCCTGGGTGACGAACCCACCGCCATCGGTCAGCTTCTTAGTGTAGGGATCTGCCAACTTCGTGCGCCACTTCTGGCGTCCGTTGCTGAAATAAACTCCCCTCACGGTGGAGTGCTTGGCCTGCTTTGGCTTCAAGGCCTCCGGTGGCTTCAGGAGGCCTTTGCGCACCAGCTTCTCCCGGTGGGCTTTGGCTTCGCGCAGCGCAGCAGCCACGGCCTCATCCTCGCCCAGGCCTTGCTTCAGGAATGGGCGGCTGGGAAACCGAAATTCCTGCCTCTTCTTGCACTTCTTAATGCTGACGCGCCAGCAGAATTCTTTTTGATGCCAGTAAATATTTGGGATGCCACTCTGGCGCTCCAGGCTGCGCCATTGTCTGCCTTTGGCCTCGGAGCTGCTTGGCCTCAATGGTTGTTGAATGGAGAACCGAATCAACAAGAAGGCCCAACATGACAAGGAAACTGAATGGACATAATACAGTCTAGGGTTTCTTGCGGGTTGTTAATTAAGTATCCGATAGGGAAGGGACGAGTGCACGAGAACATGAAAACTCTTACCACTGATGAGGATTCTATAGCGTCCACTGCGCAAATCCATTCCTCCGGTCCATTCCCTACTAACAGCCACTAAGCGGCTGAGCATATGCGTCGCTTGGCGGCTGGATCAGGCGCAAGCGCCGCCACTTTCGTCTACTCGAACCTTAGCGGACACACACCGCTGCTTCACATGGCGGCTGAACACATAACCCAAACACGAAGGAACTTTGCAAACTGCTCCAGAAAAGAAGCCCCCCAAAAAAACCATGTCTCCCTAAAGCCTTAAACTATACATATCCCTCTATAACCCCCTTACGCCTTAAAGAAACCAAATGGCCCCCAAAAACCAAAACCCTATGAAAGAAATCCAGCGTCTACTTGTGTCGGAATCTCCCGGCGGCAAAAGGCCCTCAGCCTGCATGGTGCATGGGCCGGGTTCAGGATTTGGGACTATCATTATGTATTACTGATATCATTCTTGTTCTACTATTCTTGTTATTAGGGGCATTAAAGGGTAGGGGCGCTACCGTGATCTGGGATGTTACGTGGCCTCTGGCCTTTACTTACTGGTTGTTAGTCGGGAATGCAGGCACGCAAATGTACATGAAAGCTACTATTTGGAGCGTAGGGCTTATGATGCTTACCTGGGGATACTAAAGGATGAAGAATTCGTCCTGATGGTAAAGACCAGTCTTTAATGATAAAAGGCCGTATTTTAGGGTTTAAATCGTTTTCCAGCGGTCTGTAGAACGGCCATGTTTGCAGTAGAAATGGTTTCAGAGGCCTGCAACACACTCTTGCAATCCTATTCTATGACCTTATGGGAATACCACATTTATCCAAGGCTCATCAACTTGAAAAACCTTCCCTTTGGCAAGATGAACCCCCCAAAATCCTAGAGTCCAATCCCCTAGTGCCGTGAACATGGTGAGTTGAAGAAGGCTTCAGCCGAAAAACTGCCGAAGCCCATGCTAAGAAATCCTCTTACGTCGCAGGTTTACCATGGTTGTTGATGAACGCATTGGTGTTGAGTGTTTCTGCATTGTGTCTCTACAGGGGTGACTACTTGTAGTAACTTATCCATATCTCCTATGCATATATAGCTATACATAGCCCGGGATACCCGTGTAAAGGACCCTGAGCCTTGAGAAAATGTGCGGGATTACAGTACGCAATTCGACCATTCTGTGGCAACGCAAGAGTCTTCAACATTATATTGCCAACCATGCAACCCTCCTATCTGCACTCATCCTCAATAATGATGTTCTTACGGGCCCCCGAAAATATGTTCTTAGATGCTTCTATTGCATCCTGCACGTAATCGTAATTGAGCCCGTGGCTCTTCAAGCCTGCCATCCATGCATAGCGCGTGTGAGGGATCTTCAAGAGCAAGAATATGGTTTCCGAGCTCTCGAAAAGGCATTTTTTATGCTGACCCGGAGCCTCCCTTAGGACTGAAGAAATGGAAAAATAGTTGGAGGAAATTTAGACATCCCAAACCGCACCCCGAACCCAACAAAATGTTGGAAAACATGTTGGGATTTGTAGGGATTCGGGGCTGAGGTGGCAAACCGTAAAAGCTTACCAAAACCATGTTTACCCAACACAATAATGAATATTGGAAAGAAGGCGGAAAACAAGCGTAACCCGAACCCAACAAAATTCCAACCAAAGGCAATGTGTTGCAAACCTGTTTTTCCGATATTTCGCAAAAGCCTATTCTTCAGATTTCTTGGGGAACCGAATTTCGCCTTGGGAAACTCAAGCCATCTCAAGCCTTTGTATAGCCCGCTGTGCATGCTGCCTGCGCACTTCATGTTGCAACCTGATTGTTCCATCTTCGCAGCCGGTGTAGATGGCCCAATCTAAAATGCCCTAGCAACTTCACTCCAGGCACTGAAGCCACTACAGCTGGGCTCGCTGTCATGAGATTCTTGACTTCTTACCTTCGTCTCGCGAGCTGGACACTCCCGTTCTGCTCTGGTTTGGGTGCCGAACCCACTCGGGACGTCAGTCCAACTCGACGAAGATTTCGTGGGAGGTGTTGCCCGATTGTCCAGGAGAGCTAGAAGTGCCTTGCTATTGTGTCGCACTCTTCAAGGTTATGTGATAGGCCTGCACTTGGCTGCTTTCGCGGAGGCAAAACAGTCAAGGAAGCGCGCTAATCAAAGACATGATCTTTTCATTTACGCTTTTTTTCAGCCGTTTGTTCGTTCAGACTTCGGTGCAGCAGGTAATTTGGAAGCGGACACTTTTGCCTCAAAAATAGGTTCCGGAGGGACTCACAAAGCGGACAGATTTTTTGCCAGGCCGACTTTTTTTGTGCTTGTTGAGCGCCTGTTTTTTGTCGTCCTCGGGGGTTCACAGGTAGGATCTAGGATGCAGGGTCCAAGGTCGGGAATGGAGGACTGCATCTCTATAGTAGCCTTATGCAGTCCCCAATAATTCATGAGTTGTGTTTTCTCTTGCAAGAAAAGCTAGAACCCAAAAACTGCAGGTCCCCCTACAAACCACCCACCCTAAACCGCATAAGTTTACTTTAGACCGGGTAATTCGGAAGCCTGAACGGTTACCAGTAGTACTCCATGATAACCCATAACTGCAACCGGAGAATAACATAACCCCGGGGTAGCTTTCCTGAACCCTTGCAGTCCCATCCTATATTGTCCAAGTACCCAAATCATGGGGTTGCGGTTCTCAAGTACTTGCAGTGTTTTTGGTCACCTGAAACCCTAAGATTTAGCCAGCTACCCTTAACCATCACACCAGAACCCTAAAGACTTCAGCGCCTGGACCCTTAAGGTATCCTAAGTCCTAAGTACCGGCCAGCTACCCTAAACTCTTAACCCTGAGCCCTTTTACCTAAACTCTATAAACGGGTAAATCCTAATTGCTGCGTGGGACTCAAGAAAACTACTAAGGCTTAACCCTTAGGTACCTATAAAAAGGATTAGAAAAGAGTATGAGGGAATCCCAAAGGGTTACTGCTCTAAGGTCCAAGCTAAGTCCCAAGGAGAGAATACACCCTTCCATCATCCCTATATAGCCCTATATAAGCCCTGTATTCTAACCCCATAGAGTCCCAATATAAGGAGCAAGTCCAGGCCAAGTCCCAAGGAGTAACAAAAGCGAAGCTCTGCCTGCAGGATGATCTCCTGTTTCACTTGATTCTTCAGGCACTCTCCGACCTGGACACATTGTGCGAGCTGCTTGAGTTTGAGGTAGCCATAAACTGTCTGTAACATAACGGTCTTCATTATTGTGATGGGTTTAGGGCTATTCTTTTACATACTTTAGGGGTTTAGGTATATAGATGAACTCTAAATCAGGTTCAGGGTCTAGGGAATACATCAACCCCAGAAGTAGGTGACCAAATTTTCCCCCAACCCCAGAAATCAGATATAAAACAGAGTCAATATAAGTTTTTTCCGACATAAAAGCTTTTGGGTCCGGGTAGAAGCTCAGGTCCTCTGGGGAATAAAAGTGCATACAAGAGGTTTTAAAAACAGCTGGCTCCAACCCCTTCTCGTTAGACTAGAATCGGCTAGCAGGACCTTCGCTGGGGGTTTGGGGGAGGTAGTTGATGAATTCAGGCTTGCACGACTCCAGGCTTCGGAGGGGACAGGTTAGATTGAACGGTAAGCGTTCCAGGAGATGTTGAGGGCCTCGGGTGGTGGAGTACTACTCGGGTGGTGGAGTACTGCTACATGGAATAACCTGTTTCACTTGCTTTTTCAAATTTCGGAGGGCACAAGGCGCCGCAATGCTGGAGTAGGAGTTTAGGGCTTAGGGTATAGCAGTCTTGGCTGTCCATGTCGCTGCCCTACGTTCAGGTTTCACTTCGCTTCAGCATCAAAACAGACGTCGCATATATAAACTGGGTTGCGGTTAGGGAACTTAAACTAGCTCACCATAATGGGTCTGTATGCTGAGTAATTAATAGGGTTTCCCCAATATAGTAACTTAAACTAAGTTCTTTAACAGCAACCCAATAAAGCGTGGCCCTTGGTGTTCATCCTGGCCAATGTTTCTTTGCTGCAAAACGCGCTGACGTAAACCCTCCAAATTCCCAGGTTTGGGGTTTGGGGTTTGGAGCTTACCGTTTCAGAGCTCTAGAGACCTCGGGACTGCCAAGAGACCCCTACGCCGCCTAAATCAATGTACGATTGACCCTTTCGGCCCCAAACCCCAATCCCTACCTAGACCCTGAGCCGTTCACATCGACATAACCTAGGTTTGAACGGTCTATGAACCCAACAATTCAAGTACTCGAAGTTTGGATACGGCTAGTTCTAGTGCGGGTTTGGGTCAAGGAGGGTTTAAGGTTTTGGGTTTAGTGATTTAGGATTATTGAATACTTGGACCCGCGGGCACGAGGACCCTAAACCTTGGACTCTTTCAGTTTCAGGAGTTTAGACCCCTAAAGCCTAAACCCCACAAACTAAAACCTAAACCCGATCCCCAAGCCGTAAACTCTGAACCTCAAGCCCCAAACCCTGTATGAGCTATAGTCTAAACTCCTAGCATCCCCGTTAATATCCCCTTTTGTAGTCCCCTATATTATCCCCTATATAACCCTCCCTTAAGGAGTTTAGCCTAAAGCTCATTTGACTCTAGGTTCAGACTGAGGCTGGCAAGGCACACCCTCAATGACAGGCGCGTCCTCCCTTGCCTGGGTTGCTGTTAAGGAACTTAATTGGTATACAAGGTATACATCTAGTAATCAGGCTTTAGGGTTCAGGGGCGAAGAACTTAAATCAAGTTACCATAATGGGTATACATGTGGTAATTAGGCTTTAGGGTTCAGGGGTCAGGAACTTAAACCAAGTTACCAAAATGGTATATATCTATATATAATGGGTATATA